CCATTCTTCAGTGTCTTTTTGATTGCTCCATGAGCATGGATCACTCCCAATGCATATTTAGATAAATATTCACCCGTTGATCCTCTAATAACTCCAAGGCTCTTGTTAATGCTATTAGTTCAGCCTTTTGAGCAGAACTGTCAGGCGGTAATGGTCCTGATTCCAATACCTTTTCCAAAGTCACTATTGCATACTCAGATTTACGTTCCTCTTTGATGACAAAACTGCTACCATCAGTATATAATGTATGATCTAGAGTTTCGAGAGGCAGGATTTAAAGAATGGGAAATTCTCATACTCACATCATCTTGTTCTAGCAAAGCAGCTTGATACTGCACCATCCAACTAGGGGATAGCCAGTGGTGTCTGCGCTGTTCCAACACTGCCGTCACTACATGAGGCACATAAACAGTTACTTTTTTGACCCATGGTTAGCTTTCTGGCTTCTTGGATTAATAATACTGTTGTAGTCAATGCTTGGAGACAAGCAGCCATCCTTTATCCAATTGTTTGGCTTTTCCAATCTCTGAGCATTTGTGTTAGAACCCCTAATGCAACATGCAGTCTTCCGTGCACATATAAAGAAAAGGCTTAGTTTAATCTGGCAGTCCCAAAGCAGGGGCACTTATCAAGGCTCTGTTTATATCATCAAATCTCTTTGGCAATTAGGTGTCCATTCTAATAGTTCATCTGATCCTTTAACTGTCTCTTACAGAGGTTTAACCATTAAACCAAAATTCAGAATCCACATGTGACACCGACCGGCCATTCCAAGAAATCCTCTTAACTCTCTTTGTCTTGGGAGGTGAGATTCTGCAAATGGCCTCCTTTTGATCAGGGCTCAATTGCCCTTTCCCCTGAGAAATTTCAAAACCCAGCTAAGTCGCTGGGGGCTTTTTGACCAGCTGGGCCTTTTCTGTGACACCCACTATCCTGCTAGGCCCACAAAGTTCAGCAAGCTAATAGAGGCATTATTTACACTGCATTTCAGTTTTGGTACCCAATAATATGTCATCGACTCACTGCAAGAGAGTCACTTCTGAGTTTCTTCCCCGCCATTCTTCTAATCCTTTAGCCAATACGTTACCAAACAGAGTCTGGCTATTTATTAATCCCTGGGCAAGCAGCATCCAGCATAGCTGCATCTTCCTTCCTGTAGCAGGGCTTTCCCATTCAAATGCAAAACGTTCCTGGCTCCCAGGTTCCAATGGGATGCAAAAGGAAGCATCTTTTAAATCCAGAACTGAAAAATAAACATTACTTGCAGCAATGTTAGTCAGCAACACGTAAGGATTGGATGCACATCAGCTACAATCTGATTGATAGCTCTTAAATCTTGATTGGTATTCTCGTAAGAGTTCATACTGTAAAAATTTATTTATCAATTCCTCCAGTCCTATCTTAGTTTCTGTTTTCGTAGGATATTGTTTTCACCTTACTGGCTTCGCATCAGGTTTCAGTTCCATCTTAATAGGATCAGCTTTGGCTCTTCCTGGGATTCCTATTGACCACACCAAAGGAATGACAGCATTGAGAATCTCTTCTGGAATACTGAGATCCTGTTCTTCTTGTTTCTGTAACAAACAAATTTGAGCCTTCCAGGCATAATTTTTTTTTTTCTTTGGAACATGCAATTGGATTGCATTTTCGGCAAATATTACTTGAGCTTGTAATTTATTTAACAGATCTCACCCTAAGAGAGGTACCAGGCACTCTGTATATATAGAAATTCTTGTCTTATAGATTTTTCCAATTGTACATTTCATTGGTGGTAAAAATGGCCTTATTTCCTTTTTCCTGTTACCCCAACAACTGGCATGTTAAATTTACTACAAGGTCCTTTACATGTAGTTACCACAGAATAAGTTGCTCCTGTGTCAATCAAAAATCTACAGTTTTGTTCTCCAGCTTAGTTGGAACCAGGGGATCTGCTGGGGACACCTTTATAGTCACCTCTCGTCCTCTTCAGTCTGAATCCAACTATCTAACATACTCAGGTCTGGAGCTGTACACTGCTTCAGGACTTGCCCTGTTAATTGGGGCACTTTGTCTTCCAATGCGCTTCTTTTCTGGGGAAGACTACCCCATCTTCCCGCCTTTTCATTCCATCTTTCTGTATCATGGCTTCTAAGTTCTTCTCTGCCTTTTCCATTAAAAACAGCAGCTAGCAAAGAAGCCTGTAACTTGATACCTTTCTCTCCTAGTAACTTTACACAACCATTTGTAAAATCCAGAGGGATTTTCCTCTGGCTCCTGTTATATTTTATACAATTTAGACACATTCCCATTCCCTCTGTTTTTTCCCAATACTGGGCTAAACTTCTCATCTCCTATCTCCATGCTCACTTCCTCTTCACCAACAATTGCACCTACTCTGCACCAGTCTTAACACATTCTTTTCCCTTCCAACAGCCATTACAACAACTATCTTTTGTTTTTCTCTTTCTTTTTGTTGCTTCAAACATATCGTTAGCATCAGCCATTGGCAATTTACAGTCCTCTCGACTTTCATGGTCATTTTGTAAATTAAGGAACAAATCAAAACATACCACTTCATCCCACTTTTCCAACTGTCTACAAAACAGCACCAATTGTAACAGTGTATCGTAATTCACAGTTCCATTTTCAGGCTTTTTCTTGCCATCATCTAGATCATACATCAGTCACCAAGCATTACAATATCATAATAATTTTTCTTTAGTTAGGGTATCCCCACCAAACTTTTTCCAATGTTTTAGGATGCATCCAAGGGGGGTATAGGGAGATATCTCACTCAAAGCCTTAGAACCCATAACACCTTTTCCTAGGAATCTCCTTTAACCTACTATTGCATGCAAATTTACCAGTCTCCTACCAAGGTCTTTCATGAAGCGATTTAACGTAAAGCATTCGCGCATGTCAAAACCTATCACCAGTATCAAACTCTATGACTCTGCCTGCTCCGATTGTCACTGTGCAAACATAGGAGAGCACTCCGCCACGTACTTAAAAGGAGAGCGTCCCAGTGCATAATCAAAATTCCTTTTAATCACATGCAGCTTAGATGGGGCTATCAATCCCACGAGGTACCATTCAGATCTGAAACCCAACTCAAATACCACAGAATTCCAGAACAGGCACTACCCTTACATTAGTCTTTCATGAATTCGGTATCTTGATTTTCGCTCTGCACCTTTGAGTCGCTTACCACCCAGTCAGGGGGCAGAGCCGATGGAGTCTCCGACCAGATAGAGTCGGTATGTGCTGGAGACCGTTCAATCCAACTCCCTGCTGGCTGCAGCAAGTCGATCCGGGCAAGGCTTTTCAGCACAGCCCTGTTTGGGTTGCCAAAACTGTTATCGCAATAGTGCGAGTTCATTCCCTGTGTGCAATGACCAGTCTCCCACACTGAGACGAGATACTGATTTATGACGAAGTTGTACAAGTTTGGATGCTAGATAAAACTAGCACACCCGATTCACAAAAGACATCAATCTTCATACAATTTCTTATCGATAAGCTTCAGCCCCTGGGGCAGTCCTGTGCCTGTGGCTGATTACACCATTAGCATAGTACTTAGTCAGCATTTTCACACTGTGCATGTTCAGTGAGGAAGGGTCTGGGGGTCTATCCCCCAGGGGGTGTCATTCTTAGTATTACAATGTATTATAATGTAGGATAAGTTACTTTCAGACACTACTTTTCAGCCAGAACCAGCCAAAATGACCTCAGCGCTAACAAGCGGTCTTCTCAAGGTGTCTTCATCTCTTCCACGGAGAGCGATTTAGAGGTAACACTAACTCTTCTTCCAAGTGAAAACAACAAACTCCCATTACTCAGATAAAAAATACAGAGTGCTAGCTCTTTCAGTTATGTCAGGGCCCCTAGGAAGGGGCTCCACACCAAGCCAAGCGCGGGGGGCACCCCGGCCCCGGGGCAGGAGGGCACGCCCCAGCAGCCAGCGCCACGCTG